ATTATTTGTTTACTTACCACTATCTTATCTTGATTTTACAATTCTACAACTTGATAAATCCTAACAGTTGTTTAGACTAACTGTGAATAACACTATGTGGAACTAACCTTATCTAAACTTTCAAAACTCCCCTAGGCTCGTCCAGGAGCTCGGGCAGAGGCGCTCTGAGCATATAAATTGGAAATTATAATGACTGCAAATGTGAAGGGTGCCTCTGTTTGACCCTGTCAAGCATACTCATTACCCTTTTACTATTCAGAACCTTGCTCATAAGACAACCATTTTGTCTGCATATTTGCAGTAAATATCACTTGTGCAAGGCTAATTTGGCCAGAAGAGGCTCCAGGTTGCCCCCCCCCAGGCTGGACCCTCCTTTACCGGTTAGGTTCTCATATGTGGCACAAGGTAGGGCATCCCTTAGATACTAACTGGGGTACCATAGCTCAATTGCTTGCTCACCTTATAGTCCTAGTAAAATTTAACAGAATTGTCTTTACTATATAACCTTAATGACCTTAAAATATTTTGCCCCCTGTATTGCCCTCAGCAAAATACTCCCTGTCTTGATACTGAAATATACTCCCTATACTTGATACCTTTGGTTAACTGTCAGTGCCAAGTTTACAGTGCTCTGTGCCAATGAATTTTTTCATGTGTCCACAGTTGCTGTGGCTGCTGCTTCTACATACCTCCTTTCAGTCATGGAGCTACATGGACGTGTCTCCAGAGCTTCAATAATCACCAAACAAGAAGAAGAAGAAGAAGTCAGCTGCCAAAAAGTACCATGTGAAGAAATTGCTTAGGCAAATATAACTCAAAACCCTGTTGTGGGGCCACATTGGACAAGTTTTCAGAGGCTCCCACAAATCTGAAACGAAAGAAAAAGATTGTCAGCTGCGTTCATCGAGTAAACATCTCTAGTGTCTATCGGACTGGTCTATCACCCTTCATTCCGTAAATTTAACCGGTAAATAATCACCTATAAATCACATATTACTTGATCTTGGACTACTATATATACCACGAGTATATTTACTGAAGGGTCAGGTAGGAGTAGGTTTGTGAGCCAGCCAAGGTTAGGTAGTTAAGATTCTTGTATTGTATTTAAGCATTATTATCATTTTCTGATTAAGGCTGAATTATTCTATTGAAACCTTGGCTAAATCATTGTGTAACTTGTCATCTGTACTTACTATTATTATTTTTTATTGTTATTTTGTCATCTTTTAGAATCAATCATATACTGCTACTGCAAATGTGTTAAGTTTATGTTTTATGTCTGAAAACCAATTAGGTAGAATTCCTGTATAGTTTTGTAGTTTGAATACAACCATTGCTTTTGTTTTCAATATCAAACTCTGTTATGCATTGACAAATTGCTATGTAAAATTGTTACATCAATACCAGCCTAAACTCCATCTTTATATTACTGTTGGGGAAAATTGTAAATGTATTGTTTTGTTTTTGTTAAATTATTTGCTGTAAAACTTGTCATATTTATACTGGCATATAATTGTTTTTCTGCATTACTATTACAAGCTGTAGCTTGAGATTGGAAAAAAAACACGGGCATAATGTCAGACTCTGAGTCTGACATGCCAAGCCCTGGCGGTGATGATGAGAATGTTGTTCCGGAATCAACATCACAAGATACTGTTGGCCCTCTCCTGCAATCCGGACTTCAACCACCTTCAGATCAATCAGATGAAGACATCACCTGCTATCAAACTAAGCCCAATTCAGTAGAAAATGACAGAAGAACCAGATCTAGCATGGACTTGCAAGAAAGTCTTCCTTATCCTAGCAGCAGCAGGCACAAATAACAAATTGGTACAGAATCTGAACAAGAATCAGACTGCTCAATCAGATCAACAGCCACTCCTGCTATCACAAACATCAACAAAATTCCCAAACTGTCTGCCAAAAGAACACAGTATAAAGCATTCCCAACCAATGCAAGCAATAAATCATCTGGAAACAACACAGTGATATATAGCTTGATACCTATAGGTTTATAGGTATCAAGCAGCTGTCTCCTGATACTAGAAAAATCTCATTGGACCCCATTACAGTTGCAAGAGAACTACGTACAAAAGATAATTCAAGAAACCTCAATCCATGACGTACACATAAATAAACGGTGCAACATTATTGCTGTAGAATTTAAACCCTTTGAAAAACAGGAACAGGAAAAACTACTTTCAACAACCAAGCTTGGAAACTGGATAATCAAATGTTACAAACCAACATTGGATCTGTGCAATTCCTGCTCAGGTGTCATTGGACCAGTAGGCCTGGATGTCAACATAGAAGAGCTTCTAGACCTACAGAAACAACCCTGCAAAATAGTCAAGCTGTCTCTTATACACATCTAGATGTGTATAAGAGACAGATATGCTNCCACTCTGCATACTAGCTGTCTCTTATACACATCTAGATGTGTATAAGAGACATGCCAAGAGGTCCAAAACTACACAAGCTCTCAGGCCCAACGGTCATCCTTGCGGTTGTCCTGTGGCTTTAAGTCTACCCTGCGTGGACATCCCAAAAAGAAGAAGAAGAAGACAGGTGAGCAGTGGTGGGCACAGTTCCGCTAATCCGCTAACCGCTAATTAGCGAAGCTAACTTTTTCCTTATCGGATTAGCTGTTCAGCTAACTTTGAAAACCTTTAGCGGACCAATTAACTTCCGCTAACTGGCAGTCCGCTAAAAATGTTTTAAAATCTCTGATTTAATGCTAAATATCGTAAGCCGTGTGCCATGCCCACACTGACGGATGACTACGTCATACGTCATCCGGCCGTGGCTCCTGGCAAGTCCTCGGTCACGCTCTTCACCCCAGATACGCACCAATCCCGTTACCACCCAGCTGCCACCATCTGCAATGGCATCATCCCTGTCTCTTATACACATCTAGATGTGTATAAGAGACAGAATGTGTCCAGAAATTAATCTTCAAGAACTTCAGATGTCTATTCAGTGTTTAAAGAATACCTCTCCAGGGAATGACCTCACCGCCAATGCATTCCTAAGAAGGAGCCCGGATTGCATCAAAATTGAGCTCCTCAACCTTTTCAACACCAGCTTTGTCACTGGGGTGGTGCCATCTTCGTGGAAACAAGGAGTCATCTGCCCCATACTCAAGCCTGGAAAGGACCCAACCCAAGTCAGCTCCTACAGACCCATCACCCTGCTGTCATGCATAGGTAAACTTATGGAGAGAATTATTCAAAGGAGAATTGAACACTACATTGAAACTAAGCACATACTGTCACCTACCCAAACGNACAGGGTCCGCAGACCGCACCAGACTGCCGTAAATGGGAACGGCCCCGCACCGGACTGTCGCATCACCTTACCCACTTCGCAGGCGTAAGCCCAGCCCTAACACTCACCAGCATCCTCTACCTCCACACTTACCCCACCTTTCTGCGATACCGCAAAGGGGTTAGGTTAGGTTAGGTTTGGTTAAACTTCTTCCGCAAGCTGGTACCGAAAGGAGGGGGAGCAGGGGGTAAGCGTAGAGGTTTAGCCTCCAGAAGAACGGACAGACTGGAGAGGTAGCAGTGTGGCGCAGGGCGTTCTTTATCGAAAGTGGGGAAGGGGCTAGGCTGCATGGAATAGAAATATTTTGGGGTTTAGCATGTGGGTTACGACCATTGTTTTGGCGGCTTGCAAGTTGCAGGTCATTGGCTTGCCGGGTTATATTCATGAAGGGATTTGGTCCCTGTGGCTTTATGGAAGTAACCATGTTGGCTAATTTGCTCTGCAGCATGCTTGCGCATGGGGTGAAGTATGAAAATTATGCTGGTATTGGGCAATGCTGGGTTATTTCAGTCGTCCCGTTACTCCCGTACAGGTGAGCCATAGTACAGGTGAACTATGAATAAGGTACCCAGAGTCCCAGACAATAATCCAGTCACTATTTCATACAATTATTACAATAGCAGTAATATATATTACTGTTTTTCAGTTCTGCTTGAGTGGTTGTGCCTGGCTTACGTTTAATGAGTTATTTCTGGTGAGTGGTGCTGGTGACATACCTTGCTTTTGTCGTTACGGGTGAAATAGCCTAATAGGTACACAGCGCGCTAAGGCGGGTACAGCCTATGGGTACGGGTGAATATGTAGAGAGGCTAAAAACACGGGTGAAATTTTATCCATGTGCACAGGTGATTTTTGCTCAACCACTGGTGGTTTTTACGGGACGACTGAAATAGCCCAGCATTGCCCAATTGCCCCAATACCAGCATAATTTTCATACTTTACTTCATGCGCAATCATGCTGCAGAGCAAATTAGCCAACATGGTTACTTGCTTAAAGCCACAGGGACCAAATCCCTTCATGGATGTAAACCAGCAAGCCAATGAGCTGCAAGCCGCCAAAACAATGGTCGTAACCGACACGCTAAACCCCAAAATATTTCTATTCCATGCAGCCTAGCCCCTTCCCCACTTTCGATAAAGAACGCCCTGCGCCACAGTGCTATCAGTAAACTGCTATCTCTCCAGCCTGTACGTTCTTCTGGAGGCTAAACCTCCACGCTTACCCCCTGCTCCCCCTCCTTTCGGTACCAGCTTGCGGAAAAATTCTAACCAAACCTAACCCTTTCGCAGAAAGGTGGAGAGAAGGGGGTAAGTGTGGAGGAAGAAGATGCTGGTGAGCGTCAGGGCTGGGCTTATGACTGCAAAGTGGGTAAGGTGATGCGACAGTCCGGTGCGGAGCCATTCCCATTTACGGCAGTCTGGTGCGGTCTGCGGACCCTGTGGCTTACGGCATTTGTAAGAAGTGATGGTATGGGCTTAAATCATTGGTGTAGGAGCTATTGGGCATAATCCGTTTGGAGTATCAGCTTGTGGGCTGAATCATTGCTTTTTTCAAGCTGGTGTGGACTGTGGCGAGATGAGGCAAGTTAGAACAGCTGCATAGGTGTTATGCTGACTATTTCTATTGCATGTAGAGAGTTGGCATTGGCTCTTGGGCTGATTTAAGAGTCAAATTTTTGGGCTACGGCAGCCCTCCCGTTTTTACCCGATTTTCCAAACCGGGATCCGGGAAGCCATGTTAGCCATCCATAAATTGGACAAAAACGCCTGTGAAAGTATCAGGCCCATTTCACTTTCACCCATTCCTATGACATTTATGATTTAGTAATAGTAGGTACAATTTTTTTCAGTATAAATAGGGAAAACTGTATTTTTACCTGAGATTTTCAAAGATCACTAGTGAAATGATTATTTTCACCTGAATTTTTTAAAATTTACTATTGTGAATGATCATTTCACCGTGAAAATGATCATTCACAATAGTAAATAGTATTCCTAAAATTGACACTGAAAAATTTTTAAAGTGTCAATTTTAGGAAACTTCTGACCAATATTCCAAATAGGGTGCTAACTGTAATGTAAAGTGGTGAATGGAAATTTAGCTATGATTACTCACATATGACACTCTTTTTGACTTATAATCACTGTAATTTTCCTTATGTTATTTTGCTAAATATCATTTTAATGTACCGTTATATTTGCAGACAAATGCATCCTGATTTGTCTCCTCATCTCCATACACCAGAGTGTAATGCACTTATAAAGCAACTGCAAGACTGTCACACAAATGTGAGTACATTTAAAAATACATTTTGATTTTCAAAATTTATATATCATAAAAATTCTTTCTAAATTTTGGGATGATGACACAATTAACATATATTTATTTATATACCTGTCAAATCTTGCACAAAACTCTCATTATATGATTAATAGACACTGTACTTATGCAGAATGTAATTCATACAAATTGAAGCCTCTGTGGCTTGTGGAAATAATCCACCAGCCATATATGTACGTTGGAAGATTAACCTTCCTGAGCATGATTGACAAAGTCCGTCTGTTCATTAGTAGTTTACTACCTTGGTTAAGATCTGTGGTTAAGCTGAGTTAGCTGACTATATGGTATATTGTACATATTTAGTGAAACAAGTGACCTTATCAAGTTTTATTTTGCACCACATATGTTTTGCCCATTTTTAGGCTGTGCCGCTGTGGCATAATTATTTCTCCAAATGATAAATTTAATATATTTTTTAAAAATTTGTTCCAATTTCCAATATTTTCAGGCAGAGGTGAAATGCGAATTAACTGAGAAGTGAACATTGTTGGTAATTGGTTACATATCATTCTATTGTATGAATTTGTCATAAATATAATTCACCTATGAAATTTTGAACAATGTTATCCCATTTAAACTCTTTCAATTGGAATTTTGCTTCTGTGAAATTAGATATTTAAATGCCTACAATTTTTCTTTTCCTAGATTTCATTTAGTTATAAATGATTTATTTAGTGCAGGTTTCATTGAAGACCAGAGAGTATTCCTTATTGATAAGTTTCTTGTTTACTTTCCCTATTAATGTAGGTGGAAAATTAGGCTGTTGGTAGCACTTGAAAACTCAAATATCAGGTGTCCAAAGGACATTTTATTATAATTTACAATGTTTTAAATGAAACTATATTCATTATCAAGTAGGGAAAGAGTTTTGAAACAATTGAATTTGAAATTTTGAAATGATGTTAGAACAAACAGGATGTTATGGATACAGATCAAAAATCAAAGCTTGATTCCTAGAACTGTTTCAATGCCCTTAAAAATCAGGTTGTTTTTTCATTTATAGCTGAAGGCTCATGCTTGATGATGAGAGCCTCAGCTATTGCCAGTCTTTGGGTGTCTGGTTAGTGGTTACCTCATGACGATGCTGGTGCAGGTCTCTAACAGTGTGCGAGCTAAGGCCTCCTATGAGCCTCCCTCATGTGGTTCTTTGGTCCTCCAGTCTGAAGATGGGATGTTAGGCAGTGGCTCAAAGTCACGCTGGTCAAAGTGATGTAATTTGCATTCTGAAGAAGTCTAAAACCCTCTTTGTGGCATGAATAATTGTAAATAACATTGGTTTCTTGTAATGGTTCTAATGTTTTGTATGGATTATTTTTTATCATTAAATTCTTGAGTTTCTTGTTTTTCATAGCAAATCAGAAGTTTGATGCTGTTGGTGTCGGTTGTGATTCTGATGTTATTTCAAGTTTTGAAAAACTCTTCCCCTACTTGATAATGAATGCAGTTGCATTCAAAACTTCATAAATTATAATAAAGTGTCCCTTGTAAATCTGATATATGAATTTTCAAGTCCTATCAACATCCTAATTTTGCTAAATGGAGAAAAAATAAGAAAATGTTCAATGAAAAATTATTTATTGGGTATTGATAATATATGATCAAAGTTAGCTTTAATTTTCCTTTCCTCAACTTGACTTCACATCCCATATGTTTCCAGCACACCTTCCGCAAATTCTTTGGACATTGTAATGAGCTGGACACTCAAGTCTGGAAGTGCTTGAAAGAAGAAGTGAGTGTACAGCCCAGCATACTAGATAAAATATATAACTACATAACTCTTGGAGCTTTTTACCAAATTTGAAAGATACCAATATTCCCATTGTAAAATTTTATTCATGAATTTCTTCTATGCTACTACTCTTAGGCATTCACTATTAAAAATGTGATAAGATCCAATGGTAATCATTACATATTATTTCAGAGATTGGAGCGACGCAGATTGAATTACATCAATTCTATTAAAAGAAAAGAACACTTGAGGGAGGCTATGAAAAAAACAAAAGAAGATAAGGAGCCTCTAAAAACGTGACAGTTCCCTATGTAACATGGAACTAGATGTAAAAAAATAATAGTTATTATTTTGTAAATTTGCAAAATTATTGTGAATTTATGATAAAACATGTCACTCAATACAAGAGTGCCTCCCATTGAGGATTCAGTGCCTCTAGATGCGTGCTATCCCAGTGTCAGTGAGCGTTATTACATGCATTACTATTACATTCCTAAGAAGCAAATGATAAGAGACAACACCAACCATAACTCCTCAATTCCCCTGAACTCTCGAATAACTGATGCAGACTCTCAAGACGGCCCGTGCAAGAAAATCAGGTTAGATACGCCGCTCCCGGAACCTGGATCGCGGTCAAGTACCGTCAACCATCAAGATGCGAATCCTAACAATCAATCAACGTTTCCCATCAACAAAGACGGCAGCTATGGTGCCGATTTAAGGGACAATTGTGTGATTACTGGAGAGGAAACTCTCGTCATGGTTCACTCAAATCGACTCTGCGTAGTCAGTCTCTCACCTCACCATCCAATTGTGCAAGGCAATCTCACTGTAAATAAGGTACGTTTTTGGCAGGCATTGCATAACTGCCTGCTGAGTGTTAACAACGTAAATACTGTTTTTATTTTCGAACTGCTAGCCTGAGGCTGCGCGATATTTTGTAACTCTTTGCCCGTAAATCTCAGTTCATGCCAGTATGTTTAGAAACAATTTAAGAAGCTGTTACTCCCTTATTTCTAGGTGTCGTTCGAGGTGGACGGAGTAGACCGCCTAAGCAATCAAGTGTCCGGCAAAGGCAAGCGTGGTGCTCAAGTTCTTGGCAGCAAGGCAACGCTCTGCAAGGTACACACAGATGACGGCCGCATTTACCACGTTATGTGCGGTGCTCGCGGTAAACTGGTTCAGGTGAGAACCAAAACTGTTTTGAACTTGAAATTTTTATTAAATACAAGATTCATTACTAGCTGAGCTGTATTGGAATACAACTTGAATAATTTCAATAAGTTCTCTGATAGCAAGAATATATTTTTTTAACATGGTAAATGACAGTCATGCAAATAAATTAGCTCGGTTCTCAATTCATGGATGTTTACGGGCATTATACGAGTATATACGTACATTCAAGTGGCATGAATGCTGGAGAGATTGGCAATGGTTTGATTTGATGTAGTCCTGATGCTCTGTATCACCAAGTGCTCTGTATCACCAAGTGCTCTGTATCACCAAGTGCTCTGTATCACCAAGTGCTCTGTATCACCAAGTATTAAAAAAAGTGTAAAATAATTCTGCAAATTAAATTTCAACTATTGTTTGATTTTTCTCATTTATCATTGTTTCACTTTTAAGTTGACCTTGCAATGACGGGGAGAAACTTTTATCACCTATTGAACCATATACATTTTATTTTCTGTCATTTTCAACTCACTATAGTTGTTGGTAAAAAGTTTCCGTCCCTTAGTTGCTATGTATAATAATAACATGGAATCAACTGTTGCTGTCAGGTGAACGAGCGCCTGGTGAGCGAGCCGGAGTTGTGTGGCCGCAGTGCCGGAGCTGACGGTTGGCTGGCCGTTGTTCTACCAAACCTCACAATTTATGACGGTCTTATAATGGCACTAACGCCAGCTGAACGCTACACGGAGCTCTGGCAGCGTCAGATGTTAAAAAATGTCGACCGTGTGAAATGCTAATTTTCATCCCTCAGGGCAGAATAATAATGAAATTGAAGACTGGGCATTAAAATATGGAAAATGATAGTTCTGTCAAATGCGTTAACTTCTTTTATCGACATCCTCAGCATCGGCAAAGATTTAACTGCGATTATTGCTTGAAATTTCAATTTCTGCTATTCCATGTAACCTGATTGGTCTGTAAATATATCCTGACATTTATTATGGGTTTGTTTAATCCCGTATTTCACGTCCTGATAAAATATATTTTGTGGTTATATAATTGGTATAGTTTATTAGCCATGTTAGCCTGTGCTAATTGTTTATTCAGAGAGCGGACGGACAATTTTTCATCAAACAAGTGATCGATTTTAAATATTTCAAAATCACGTTACTCTCACAATCTGAAGTGGTTTTGGAGATAAGACAGTTAAACACATATAACCGGACCATGAGTAGATGTGTTTTAGACACTACGGAAGAAGTTCTTGAAAGTTACTCAGACCCGTAGTCCCTATTATTGCGCAATCTTGGTTGCACAGGTAAGGTTAGCTGCTCCTTGCTGCTCAATAATATTGCGCACAATATTTTTTGTGCTCAATAATATTGCGCTATAACATGCTCAGTGCACTATCATCAAACTTTGTTGATCATGTTGGAGGGTTCAATATGCTAGTACGTCTGTGAACACGGTTGCATAATATAACATAGCATAGTGATCTAGGCGCTGCAGTGTAGGCCTGATGTGGCCTGTCGCCGATTCTTTTCCTTTTCGTGCCTTGTTCACAGAAGATCTAAAATTGTGTCATTTGACCGGATTGTTTTCACGACTGACGAAAGTTTGAAATAGCTACTCGACTTCCACCGGGTTCGATACGGTGCTAGGCATTTCAAATATAAACATATATTATTCCATAGCTTTAGTCTGTTCTTGAACGCGTTCATACTTGGAGCGCCAACGATGTCATCGGGGAGGCTGTTCCACATCTCGGTGATTCGAAGCGAGAAGAAATTTTGTCGCGTGGAGAAGTTGCAGCGCAGTTTTTTTAGATTATAACTGTGGCCCCTGGTGTTGGTTCTTGTTTCAAATTCTAGTAATCCTTCGGGGATCTTGTATAAACCATGAGCATACTTGTATACTTCAATGAGGTCCCCATGCAGACATCGATAACTGAGACTTGGAAGCTTCATAATCTTCAATATTTTTTCATAAGACTTGCCCTTCAAGCCTGGAGTTATCCTTGTTGCACGTCTTTGAACATTTTTTATTAAATTTCTGTCCTTTTCAAATCTCGGTGACCACACAACGTTTCCAAACTCTAGATTCGGGCGCACGACGGCAACAAACAACTGCTTCATCGCTTCTGCATCTAGGAACTCGTATGAGCGTATGATTAGTCCAAGAAGTTTGTTGGATGTTGTTAGCTTGCGTTTCAACATGCTTAGAAAATTTCAGCTCCTTGTCGACATAAACTCCGAGATATTTATCCACACTAGACTTTTCAGTCTGGACGTGATTGCGCAACTCTCCAACATGACTCACAGATGTTCGATATTATTGCACAAAGAAAGATGACGCGCGAGATTATTGAGCTCAAAATAAGATAGTGCGCAATATTATTAAACAGAAAACATGATGTTGCGCAATATTGTTGAGCACAAAACCGCTTATTGCGCGGTATCATAGAGCACAAAACGAGATTTCACAAAATATTGTTGAACAAATAGCAGGACATTACGCGATATAATTGAGCTACAGAAGCAGTCGCTTTCAAGTGTAAATCGATTTGCGCAATAATATTGAGCGTGAAGGAGCTGCTTCATTAATGAAAATATGTTGGGCACACGGGTTATTATAATAGTGCACCGTAAGAGCTATTATGCACAATGTAACACCGATCGTCGGCCTAAAGCGATTGATTGACATATATATGTCTCGGAAAGGCATCCCTTTGATGAGCGACAAAAAAGCCCACAGAAATAATTTATAGTGCTGTATCGTGGTCTTCAGACTGTGAGATTAGAAGCGCAGAAATTCTTGTTAACTTGTGAAAATTGGGTAGATAGGTGATGAAATTATGGAATAGTGATGCGAGATGTAACAAAATTCGGAGAAACATGACGTAATAAAACTACTAGGTCGTAGGATTTTACGATTTGGTTTACAAGTGATGTGGCTCTACGAGCGGCTAATTGACGAATTGATTTCATTAAATAATAAGAAGAAATTAACATGGAGTCATTACAAATGTTCATTTTTATACACTCTGCCCCTGGGGTTAGTTCAAAATTTTTAATTTTGTACAGAAAAATAACATCTTTGTATAGTCATACGCAAATTGAGAATGAATTAATAGGCAGAGAAATACACAGCATTTACTGGTTTTTGCTACCGGAAACGAATTCTGGCTATTAAAAACATGGTTGAGTTACTATTTCAACCATATACTATATCAACCATGATTAAAAACTTTTTTCCCCATGAGCTCAGCTGCAGTGCGGACGTCAACAACTGTGCTCCGTCAGCCTCGGTGTTGAGGAAAGGGGAGCGCAGCTGTGCACCACCAATTTTGTGCACCAATAAGCCCTGAATCGAACGCCTTGGATCTCTCCGGACCTACCTACACCAATCAGCCGTGCACCACTCGGCTTTGTCATTTTTTGCCAAGCGAGGTAAATGTAATCAATATTCTTTGTTTTTAATCAATTTTTTTCTTAACTGGAGCCTTTGCTTACTGAGGTTCTACTGTAAATGCATTTTTGGGGGTGTCCCGAATAGCCCAGGGGGGTGTCACAAGTAGCCCCGCCATGCAGAAATGGCTGCCATTTTTTTTTTTGGATTGAGGTATGTAAATTCTGCAAATAAAGTTTTCAAGCCAACACCTGGGTGCAACTTTTATGTAAGTAAAATTTTTTAATATGGCAAATATTTTTTTTACTACAAACCTTAGCAGAAGTAACTTTTCAAAATAGCGTTTTTCACCATTTTTTCAGGAATTTTTCAAAGCCAGTAAATGTACCGTAAAATGGGGTTACTTTGACCGGCTGGGTAACTTTGACCACTTTTTGTTTTTCTAACAAAAACCCCCAAAACTCAAAAATGATTTGACATAGAAAAATTTTGTCACTGGCCATCAAAGGCCTAATACTGAGGCTACATAACACAATAGAAAGATTTAAAAAGTTTGCCTATCTAATAGGTTGAAAAATTAATAATGTGACCCACGAAAAAGAGCTATTATTTAAAGCCTGTCGGAGTACCCCTCCAATTTTTTTGTTCTTTGTTAAAATAACTCCAGGTTTTGATGCATTGTAGTAAAACTCTTCTAGTTACATATGGTTATGTTATCTAGTTATCTAGTTACATATGGATATGTTCTTATTTTTTAAGACAAATTTTAGGAAAGTGTCATAGTTTGCAAATGGGGGGCGCTGCCCCCCAATGGGGGAACTTTGACCACCTAATGGCAGCCATGACGCCAGACGGGGTAACAGTGACCAGCTTAGAAATTAAGTTGAAATTACCATAGGTACCCATATAACATATTTTATGTTTGATGCACCTATTAATGTTTTTTTCTTTATGATTCAGACTCTACAGAGTCTTATATATGGTAATTTTAATTTAATTTCCAAACTGGTCAATGTTACCCTGTTACGGCTGCCATTAGATGGTCACATTTCGCCCATTGAGGGGCGGCGCCCCCCATTTGCAAACTATGACACTTCCCTAAAGTTTGTCTTTTGCATATGTAACTAGAAGAGTTCTACTACAATGCACTACAATCTGGAGTTATTTGGAGTTATTTACCCAAAAATATAATTGATTTTACCACCCGGTCAAAGAAACCCCAGGAGCTGGGGTAACAAAGACCATCACTTTTTTTTAAATTACATCAAAACTATAAGAGGCAGGAGCCATCAATTTATAGTGAGTAAAGCTAGAGTATAGACCTGTATTTTTCATGTTTCAATTTAAGTTTAACTTATCTAGTAAAAAAATGGCATCATTTTGAAAAAAAGTGGTCAAAGTTACCCCATTTTACGGTAGTATTTTCAACTTCCTTTATACTACATAGATAGGAAAAATGTTGACGTTTACGCCACTATACTTCGTTTTGCAATATTCCAATTAGTTTTGCTACTAAAACAGTTTTATGCCGTGTCGGAGGACTGTCCCGAGTTCCCCCGTCAGTCCCAAGTAGCCCCGGTTGATGGTAGCGTATATTTAATTGACAACTGTCAACATTTGATTGACTGCAGCTGATGTTTGATTAACAAGTTGATTGACACTCCCTTGTTCTTTGAAACATGGAGATGTGGCCATGCTGTCTGTATTGGGCGGCAAGATCCAGTTAATTATTTTATCAGATTTCCATGTGTGATAGAGTATAATTATTTTTAAATTGTTATTTTAGGCATTCTGCCAAATTAGAGGCAATTTTTTTGCTTAAAAACCATGGGAAGGCATTTGAAGAGGCAAGATTTTAATTTTACTACTTATGAATGAAATCTTGTGGCTCTAAAGTGACCAATTTTCAATGTATTTGAAATATTTCACCCTAATCATGCAGTTTTATCAACAATTAGATAAAAGATAACTCATATAGCAGGAATTATGCAGTTCCAAACATACCAAACATAATTATTTTCTTACATAATATTGATAAACTTTTCTATTTTTTTCAAATAGTTGAAATATATTGTATTGGCTTTTAGATATCTTTTAACATTCAACAATTTATCACAGTTTGCTTCAAAATGAAATTTAGACGAGCCTTGGCCTTGAGTCTAATCATTGCATTGCTCCTAATTTGGATATTAGTATGGAAAGATCCTCCACAGTCTGGTAATTACTCTCCAAGCACAGCTTTCATTGATGCAACAAGAAATTTTCACAAGCCATCAACACTACCAAGGGCTTTTGTTCCTGGCATACTTAAGTCTTCTCCTAAGCTACATAATTATTATATAAATACCACAGTCTCATTACAAGAAGTCAATGTCTATATTAAGGAATTCCATCAAGAACAACGTGTGCCAAAAAATGACCGGCAGAAGTAAGTAAAATTCTTTAAAAATAATTAGCTGGATCCAAGAATAAATTTAATTCAGTCCAATGTGTATATACATATGTACTTGTTTCCTGATGACAAATTAGTCACTAAGTTGCTTCTTATTGTGAGATAACAGTATTGTCATTATTATTTTTAACATGGTAAAATCTTTGTAATCATATTAATCGCTTGTTATAAAATCACATGAAATAGCAAGAAATAGTAAAATAATATTTACTTCTATAAAAAATTTGTCTGCAAAACTTATGTTGCAGTTTTTGGCCAAAAATATATGAAATTTCAGAAGAAATATGCTGGAAATGTACTAAATGAAACATTGATTTGCTAATTTTTGAAGAAAATTTATCAATATTTAGTTACTTACTCATGGTTAATTTTAAATTGATATCAATTTGTAAATCCTTGCTTATGGCAGGCTTCTAAATTCTTTCTGCATTGCACAAACAGGATTGTACTTTGTGTCGTCTGCTGTGGAAGAGAACGCATCAATGAAACTCAAACAGCCCTCAAGTCAGCAATTCTGTTCTCCTCGTCTCCTCTCCAGCTGATAGTCTTCACAGAACTGCAGTACTTCAATGCCTTCATTAATATGGTTAGGCAATATTTATAATGGTCCTGTTATCCCAATGTTCTTACCTGATCTGATAAACTTTTAAGAACATTTTGAACCTGATTATATTAATAGAAGCTAGTAGGTACTGTTAATACTGTTATTTGTTACCATGTATTTAATAGAAAAATAAATGGCTAAATTTTAACTGCTACTTGCTGCTATGACATTGACATGCAGCTGCAGCTGGGCTCTTTCTGTCTATTATGGTACCTATATATAGTTAGCAGGAATCTGAGTGGTTTGTGATAATATAGATATGTTGAGTGCAATATACATAGTTAGTGTTGTACACAAATTCAGTTTACATGACATAGTTTATTACTTTCTAGTATTTCTGTACCAAAATGTTCCAATATGTTGTTGTCATTGAGAAAGTTATATATTTATTTGTTTCAATGAAGAATGAAAACTAAAGCAATATTAATTTTTCAGAGAACTGCCTGGCCTGCTGAAACTCAAGCTCGTGTTACTCTTTCTTTGCAAGAAGTACACTATCCTGAATTTGTTAAAGAAAATGATTGGCGAAATCTCTTCAGAGAATGTGCATCACTACGGCTCTTTTTACCTGTTAGTTAGACCCCTAATCTTATAGAACTTGCTTGATATTTGTAAGTAGTCCATTGTTTTGAGTCATGTCAAATTCATCATATTCATGTCATGACAAAAGTGTATAGGTATGTATTCCCAATTTTTCAATATTATCTCCATAGACTCCATTAACTGTCAATATGTCAAATCTTATTTTTATTATTATATTTTTATTATGATAATCATTATATCAAAGATATATTTATACTGTACTAAGTTAATCTCACTTTTCATCAAATCCTATTTTTGCTATTTGCCATTCCCAAAATGCTGCATGACATTCCTGAATGACAGTTAAAAGTATGATACTGATTAATTTTCAATTGAAATGCTTGTACTACCCATATGCGTCTAATACTACCGTACTTTATTTCTAATATATGAATATTTATTAGGCTATTAGTTGAAAGTATCTGGACTGTTTGCTATACAATCATGACTTCTTTATTCCAGACTCTTTTGCCAGAGGTGGAATCAGTTTTGTACATAGACACGGACGTGTTGTTTGTGTCGCCTGTGGAGGCGGTGTGGCACAACTTTCTCATGATGAACAAAACACAACTAGCAGCGGTCACTCCTGAGCACCAGGACAGCAGTGCTGGCTGGTACAACAGATTTGCCAAGCATCCTTATTATGGGAAACTTGGTGAGCTTCCTCACTGCTCAGACCTAAATAGTTATATCGAATACAATTTATCAAGAACATTGCCATTAATGCCATTTTCTGAGATACATGAATAGTATCTATCTCCACAGCAGTTATTTTTTAATGCAAGGTTATGATTAGAAGTAATATTTTGAATCCTCAAATTTATTGCTCTATGTAACAAAAATGAGAAAATATATTTATAATGAGAAAATATATTTATAATGAGATTGCTATTTTGACCTTATTGATGGTTTTCTTATTACCTAATACAAATTATTTCATAAAGCAATGGATCCACTTATTATAATTGATTATATGTTCTCTGTTGAAAAGGCATCAATTCTGGAGTGATGCTGATGCAGTTGGCGCGCATGCGGACCTTTGGCTGGGAGGACCACATTGTCCCTCTCAGACAACAGTACAAACAACACATCAGATGGGGGGACCAGGATCTGATTAATATTCTCTTTCATTTCCATCCAGGTGAGTCTACACTCTAAGTTTGTATTGCTATAGTACTGACTAACTTCCATGTGAAGCTAGCTGTTCATTCATGTTCGTATATTAGTTATTTCAAAATAGTAAAAAAAATTGGTTGATGTCCATTCTAGGTTATTTCTAGGAAGAAAGTTATGTTGGATGCATTAAAACTATGTTTTCTTCAGCATTTCAAGATGATGCAAAGTATTTATGATATTTATGATTTTTCCTCTTACATGTAAATTATACAGTATATTAGCCGATGATGTCACTTATCGCTGTCTAGAGCCCTATTTCAATTTGATCACAACCTGATTTAGAGAAAAGTTCCCATGTAATTATTTGTATTTTTATGCTATTATTTGTTTTTATGCTTTACAGAGTTGGTTTATGTGCTCGACTGCTCATACAATTTCCGGCCTGACCACTGCATGTATGGCAGCGTATGCAAACCTGCCAGCAAGACGGGGGCTAAACTCATCCATGCCAGCCGCCGAGCTGCCTTCACTGACAAGTTTCCGCCGTTCCAAGAAGTTTACAACACCATTGCTATGGTATGATGTTGATTTGAAATAAAATAATTCCAGTTTCCTTTATTCTATATAGATATTTATGTAACTCTGGTTTCACATTATTGTTAATATGTCTATCACAAATTAATTTTTTTTTGCATTTTGGATCAATAATCGATGATAAAAAGGTTCTGAGACCTGAGGGAAATTATGCCCACATAGGTATACTGGCGCTCATGGATTGTAATGAAAAACTAGAGACATTCTATAAATAAAGCTGATCCTGAATTCTAATGAAAGCTAATCGTGAATCTGAATAGAATCTTATTATGAAACTTAATGAAAAATGATCATGAAACCTTATAGAATTAATCATGCAGCCTAATATATATTATCTATGTAATCTAATAAGCTCCAGATAATAATAGCTACGGTAATCATGAAGCCAAATGGAATCTAATCTTGCAGCCTAATATATATTATGTACCTATCTAATAAACTCCAGATAATAATAGCTACGGTAATCAAGAAGCAAAATGGAAGCTAATCCTAAAGCCTATTATATATTATGTGTGTGGGCAGTTCCGGCTGGGGGAAGACACTTTGGTGGATGGGTTATATGAGCGCACCAAGTCAAGACTGCGAGCTCTGCCTGCAGGACGCTGCAGTCAAGACACTTCTGTGTACACGCGCCAAATGCAGCTCTACAGCGCCCTCAACTGACCGAATAATACACCTTAATGTTTAACAAATAACTCATACTGTAGTATGATTGTGACACTTCTGTGTACACGCGCCAAATGCAGCTCTACAGCGCCCTCAACTGACCGAATAATACATCTGTGTACACGCGCCAAATGCAGCTCTACAGCGCCCTCAACTGACTGAATAATACATCTGTGTACACGCGCCAATGCAGCTCAACAGCGCCCTCAACTGACCGAATAATACATCTGTGTACACGCGCCAATGCAGCTCAACAGCGCCCTCAACTGACCGAATAAAACAACTTATGTTTAACAAATAGCTCATAGTAAGATTGGAATCACGTTCTCAAATGATTTAAAGCGATGTTGTGTTGTAGTTTGTAATGATTTATTGACTCACTTAACTTATGTGATATGGTCCAATTGCTTGCGCAACTATGCTATTGTGTAATTTCTGTGAGTACTGCCAAATTATAATGACAAGAAAGATATTTATTAGATAGTTTTTCTTTAAAGTATTTGGAAATAACCATGATCTTTAAAATAATATTATTCTGTAACTCCTTTGAAAAAAAATACTTGACGTCTGTGAGATCCAGCTGAATTTTCTTTCGTCGTTTGATTTGTTGTTGAGAAGGCTGCTTTTTTCAGACATTTGTAGCCTTTTGTCGCCAAAATGAACCCTGCATTTACGTGTTATCATGTTAGCTCTTGTGTCGCAAACATTAATCATACTTGGGTTAGAATGTTTGTACAATTGTGTTAGGATGTTTGTTCCTGTGTCACAAACGTTACTAAGAGCTTATGTGACAGGTTGGTTCTTGCATTGCTAACTTTATTCATGAATATTGTAAAACTTGCAGTTTTGTACTGGACCATGTTTCTTCTAAAATTTGCTTTTTTTCTAATATTGTACAAATTTTCAATTGCAGTCACATTTTTGATCATGTTGCAACAAACCCGTGTGGTTCCACTCCGTTAGGGAGGTTACATTTAAGGTTGTTTTGCCTGCTCAAGCTTTTTCTTTGAACTGAAATAACGCAATAAACTTGTTACTTGTTTGACTTTTGAAGTTGAAAAATTTTCAGTTCAAATTAATCGCTAACGTCACGTGAAAGGTAACAAGCAGTTGTTTTTCAAAACTGGAAAAACAAACAAGTTTGTTTTTCCCTTTCTTCTGATATTATATCAAGTAGGTTATGGAATAAATTTTCTAATCTAGTCGCCTCTATAGCTAGTTTGATAAGCTGCTGTGAATCTCTAAAATACTCCTAGTGCCTTATTCTTAAGATATCATGTCGACAATCCGTTCCATACAAATTCTGAATTTCGTGATCGATAGGCTGAAAATTTTAGCCCTTTTAATTTTTGGGGGATTTGATAATATTTAGGATCGAATTGTTCCTAGTCCAATGAGATAGAATTCTGAATTTCGTGATCGATAGGCTGAAAATTTTAGCCCTTTTAATTTTTGGGGGATTTGATAATATTTAGGATCGAATTGTTCCTGGCCCAATGAGATAAAATTCGAATTTCGTGATCGGTAGACTAAAATTTTTAGTTTCTTTGGAAGGTTCTTTTGATTTGATAATAATTGGATTGAATTTTGGACTGAATTGTTCACGCCTGCTGTTGAGCTATTAATGTGTGCAGGCAGTGCAGCTGTTAATGAATGTAGGCTGTATGAATATTGTATTGGAATATTGTGTACCGTGTCTTAGGAATTTTGCAATTTAGACCAATATAATATTTTACTTCTATTTCAGTATTCTGACCGTTTCCATTTCTTTATTCTCAAATGAACAATTATAATTTGTCGACCGTTTAATATGAATGAATGTTGGCCTGGGAACAAAGCTGCCTTTCTGCGAGATTCAATTTTCTGCTGAGATTTTAAGGAAACCTTCCGCCTCTTGTCTATGCAGAAGAATTTTAATAGGGGTGTCAGTGTTAGATTAGATCGTTAGACCTGTCGCTCATTCTGAACATAGCAGAATTTTCACAACTTGTTGCGGTCTCTAACACGCAATTTATTGCTCCAATTTTGTTGTGCTTAGCAGGCCGGCCTCTTCGCCGATTCTGACCAGAACTGTTGCAGGAAGCTGGTATTGAACTAATAACCCACTACTCTAATCTTGGCACACTTTAAGACTTTCACCACTGACACTTTAACTTTGATAACGATGCGTGAAAAGTTTTGATGTAAGTAGATTGATTTATTATTGTTAGTATAACATGGCAATAGATTCGCAATTGTGAGGAGTCACCTGGACGAAGCGAGATGCTGCGCAACGAGCCTCGGTCAGAGGACGCGACGAGCCTACCGCCCTGGGAGCGAGTCTTGTGGAAGAAGCAGCCCTACGCTGATAATTATATAGGCCCTCATTTCTTCAGGGTCACTAAGAAACGTGAGCGTAAATGAATTATGTACAATAACAACAGGTGTTCTAATATTCGGCAATATTTTGTAAGAATCATCAATTGATAAGAAGCCCTAAGCTGACAATTACTTTGCCATTCACTTTTTCATGGTATGAAAAATAGTGGGCGCTAATAGCCTTTCAAAAATGAATGATAGATAGGCAATAATGACGAATCTTCTAATATTTGGCTATACTTTGTAATTATGATCAATTAACTTGTTTGATGAGATTAATTATTACTGTAGGTGGTTAGTGATCAAAAAATTAGTACTATTACTACTATAATTTGAAATGGACGACATAAGCAATGAAGAGTAATTGGTTTCTTGTGTTTGGTCTTTGGAAATTGTCGTGAACGGCGAGGTATTTAATTAATTGGCATATTGATGTGAATTCGATTTGTCAATACTGCTGTCAGTGACCGTACAAATACCTGTGGGAATTTCTCGTGGACTAAAAACCATGCATGGACATTTTCAGAGCGCGCGGTGAGCAGCATAGAAGCCTTCACGGGATGTCGAGTGGTGACGCACCAGATTTTCTGGTTAGTATCGTTTACTCGAGTTTTCCTCTCTTAAATTTGCAAATTGTATTAATGTCAAGTAGAATGCATGTTGAATTTGCTTTTTTAGCTCATGAGAGCCCAGGATATTTTGTGGTCCCTTGAGCTTTCTTTTTGACCGCCACTGTGCGGTTGGCTGACTCAAGAAACTTTTTTTCGATGACTTTTATGATTTATGTTTTCTAATGTCTTGTGCAAGCGTCATCTTGTGCAAGTGTGTTCATTTCTGCTCATTTATGTCATACTTTTTACGCCATTCTAAGGTGCTAACCATGTTTTTTCTCGCTAGCTTCTGCGTACCGGCCTATCGAGCCCTTAAGGTTGCTGTGGCTGACGAATAATTTTCAACGGGGAATTTTCCAAACTAAACCTTATCCCTCTGTTGGTAATGATTTTTGACCTCATATCAGATACACTGGAAAACATTTATTGTCTTGACACGAGGGTTTTCAGTGCTAATTTGCATGTAAATTCTTACTCCTACGTTTTGCTGCTGGATGCAATCATGGTTGAACTAAAATAAGGTCGAGCCTCGGCGATGACGAATTTTCGCCGTTCTGCGAATCTCTAGAACGACGTCACTGTGGGCACAAAATGTAAATAGTGTAGACCAATACATTGTTTTTATGTCATCTTTGAAAGCATTTAAAAAATTGACCGCATCAAAATGCGCCAAGAAAATTTATTTACTGCATGCAGCTAGACTTATTTTAAGCAGAACCGGTGTTAAAAATCAGTTTGACGTCACAAGAGCCTAGGTGACGTCACAGTTGGAATAACAAATGACATCCGCAATGTGCAGCTGCGCGTGGGTCAACCTTGTATTAGTTCAATCATGGATGCAATAACCCTCGTCGATGCTATTAGCATTTAATAGCCAACTAACTAAGGTTACCGTCAACAGACAAAATGTTTGTTCCTTGTACCGTTTGATAATTGATTCAAGTTTTTTCTATCGCGTCACATTCTGTTGAGAACTTAATAGTATGCGCGTCATGAGAACACAGTATGCGCGTCATGAGAACACAGTATGCGCGTCATGAGAACACAGTATACGCGTCATGAGAACACAGTATGCGCGTCATGAGAACACAGTATACGCGTCATGAGAACACAGTATGCGCGTCATGAGAACACAGTATGCGCGTCATGAGAACGCAGTATGCGCGTCATGAGAACGCAGTATGCGCGTCATCACAGGTGCCTGTTGGTGGTGAGCGCATTTCACGGGCTCTCGGGCGGCGCGCTGCTGCCGTGGCAGCTCATGGCCGCGACCGCCGCGCACGCTGCGTTTACCTTCTGCCGCTCCCGGCCTGGTCAGTTATTATTATTATCCTTTTATTTAAATACCAAAATTTAGCCCGAATTTTTATACGAAAAAAAGCTTTGAAATTCGATTATTCAAAATATTTTTTGAAACGTGTCTATGTCATACGTGAATTCTATCCTTCTGCTCATATTTGTTCACGATTACTGCTCCCTATTATTTGGTTAATTATATGGGGCGTTAGAAAGTTGTCTTTATATTTCAAAAATTGATCGAATTTTTGTTGCATTAGTTACAAGTTATTATATTCTATAAATATTAACATTGCTTTACTATCTCAATGAAGAATGAGTCGCCTTTTCTGATTCATTCCGACGATTTATTTTTTCTTATGTCTTTTATCGTCCCATATTCGCGGTGTTAGATATAATAAATACTTAATTCTTCGATTTAATTATAGATGATAAAATATTGGTAGGTAGTTCCGAGCGTAAATATTAATTGGATATTTTTTTGTCATAAATAACATCGTTAAAAATTCTTGACGTTATATGACGATGACGTTATATCGATGTGTATGTGCAGGCTGGACCGCAGTACAGATGGCTGTGATGTGCGTGTGTTTGTGTGGATGTTTGTGTGGTGGTGTGGTGCAGTCACTCACCGCGAGCATCTCCACCGACACCATCTATGCGTGCACCACCCTGCTGCTGGTGCTGCACATCGTCCTGCATCACTACGGCCACGATATCGCTCTGTATGTTCACGATTTATATTTTATATCAACACTTTTCGCTCAATGTAAATTATCTGTTTATATTGTATTACTATTGTTTGGGCATCGTTTTCTCGAAATATATTGCGTTAGTTTAAAAGTAAATTTTATTCGCTATGAGATATGCTGTACACTCACTGTGTAACGCCATATATTCATTAATTATTTCTTTACCATCAGAATTATCATTTTTATAATGGTGCGCAAAAGCCGGTCAGTCAATATTGAACAAATGCTGAGCGGAGTGAACGAGACTCTGAGTCACAACGTCGGAGTGTTTTGAGCAGGGTGAACGAGACTCTGAGTCACAACGTCGGGGTGTTCTGAGCGGAGTGAACGAGACTCTGAGTCACAACGTCGGAGTGTTCGCATGCGTGTGCCTGGCGTCGCGGCTCACCGACTACTGGGCGGTTTTCTCCTTCACCGTCGCCGGGATTGCGGTCTTCGCGCGTCCCGACCGCGAGGTATCATGGCGGGCATGTTACTGCATTATAACAGTTATATCCAGCCAGTATTAACTGGCTCTACATCATAATTGCCTGAATATTCTATATTATTTATCATTTGTTTGAATTGAATAAATTTAATTGTGCTCCTAACCTACATTTTTGTGTATTTTTAAAACAGAACAAAGACCCATAAATCGTTTTAGGAACAAAAATTTTATAATATCCTTCTATCTTCCGCTCAGTTCCCTCTCGCTTCTTTCCATTCACGGTGTTTGTTTGGTCGAATATTTCTCAGGACAATAGGCATGGCTGCATTGAGTCAACCGCTGCAGCTGTGGCAGAGACGCTGTTGCTGTTCTCAGTGACGGCCGTGGCTGTCTGGGTCTACGTTCCGGTGCTGCTGCCGCTGCTGCTCTTCAGCACGGCCTTGTCCAACGTCGTGCTGCCAGCCCTCTTCTTGCGCCTGCAGCATCACCGACAGTGAGTCTTTCGAAGAACGTTTTTAATTCCACTGATGCTTCGCTGCTCTGCACTTTTTTGAATCATCACAAGGCCTATGAAAATATTTTAATAAAGAAAAGTACGAATAGATGCATATATCATAGATATAATTCCAGAAAATGAATCCACATCGATAGGTATGCTGTTGGTGTTCCTTCTTGCTGATGAAATTAATTAGGCCCGAATATGCACATTTTTGTCTATCAAATTCAATAAACACCTGCCAAGCCTACCTTGTATATTCATCCCTCCATGCCAAGTATTTTTCCAGGAAGTATTTCCAGGTTTGACTTTCAGTACTAAACAAATTTCAATTCTTGCAGGAACATCTACGGACCTTGGGACGAGGCACGGATAGACTAGCGACCTTCTCAACATTGCACATGTGCTGTGATATTAGCTTAGACGGCAGACCCGTAAGGCAATTCTTTCTTATTATTGAACTTTTAACATCAATTCGTTTAGAGGCGTTTAAAAAATGGGTTTACCTTGAGACAATGTGCTAATCTCATTTTTATCATGATTATGAGGAGCAAATTTAATTACTCCATCCTAGTGTTATATGTGGCTCAAATTGCTCTTGAATTACAGTTACGTACATATAATTGTATCATTTGAAGAGCCGGCTGTATTGACTATATTTAATTATTCTGCTAATTGTCGTAAGTTTCTGAATAGCTCGATCTAAAGATATAGATGAACTTTGTTTTTTAAATTTGTATTATATTTGGATAAGAGATGAATCAATACATTACAAATCGTCAAACTAGTATTTGAATTTTTAATTTCGGTCAGAATATACAATGAAATGAGAAAATATTATAATCAAATAGTAGAAAGTATCGTGAATATTGCACATAGTTTTAAGTAAGTATATTCCTTTAGATGAATGGGCTTATTAAAAAATTAACATTAAAGTTAGCAGCATCCGTAAAATAACGTTAATGTTATACTGAAATGTTGCGCAATACATTATCATAAATAAAGCCCACAGACACTTGACGATCTAGACTTATTCTAGAGGAATAAGCGAAGACGTGGAGGAGGTAAATTGAACGGCGTTAACACTGGATGGTCGATGGTGAGCTATGATATGCATCACAAAAAAAACTAATTCTTCTAAAGGAAGAATAACTGACTTCGAATTAATTATAAGGAATACAATAAAAATTTTAGGACTTGTCGTGATCAGTAGGTATCTAATTGTTTGATAATAAAAAATGAATGAAACTGCAATGAGAGTTCTCAGCCAATGTGTCTAAAAGACGTGAATGAGAGTTCATTTTCGTCTTTAGTCTTGCTTTTAGTGTAGCATCCAAGTTGCTGGTAGCTACATGCTTATATTTCATAATTGGTTATACAGTCATATAAAAAATGCATAAAAAATATCACAAAGATATAGCCAATAGTAAACGGAAGGTATGGATATAAATACGGTTTAAATAGATAGCGAGAGTTACAATCAATGGAAAACACTTCTGTTTAAGAATACTTAAAAGTTACTTAATATTTAACTTGATCTCTGATTGCCTCGACAACGTAAGTTGAGAATGTATTGCTGGATCTTCGAAAAATAAACCTCTAACATTTTATTTTGCATTAGCAGGCAATATTCACATTTTTCGCTAATATTTGTGCAAATTATGACTTAATTCTAAGTCGTGATATCAATTGGGTTATTACAAATTATGACTCTACAGAAATTAAGCTTAAAATTCTATTCAACTATACGTTCGATTCGATAATGTAAAGCTGAAGATGTCGTAGCAAAAGTTTTCTTAATATATGCGGAAAGAAAGAGCGAATGTATATACTTAAATCTAAAATCTATAGAATATTACAATTAAATAGACTAATTATTAAAATGGACGTCGTTTAAAACGTTCACAACACATGAAGTGGCAGAAGATGGACGGATTTGAGGAAACAATTGTGCGCAGTAAGAATTGCATTCAACACAATAACGAACCTTAACATTAATAGACGCTTACAGACAAGTAGCTGCGCTGGTTTGTATACTAGACCAAAGGTCACAACCTAATCAAGAGATACAAGTTAGGAGGCATATATTGCGGTCGTAGCTCGCAGTCGGTGTTATACATAATAATTTTAGTCAATTCCTTTTTGGATTATACATTTTTGGACCAATTTAATAATCTTAATAGTAACTAACCTGCATAGGCGGCTGTTACCTGACGCCTCTACAGTTTAACTAATTCGCATAGGCTTGTGACAATATATATCTATCGGATATATTTTAGATGTGTTAAAAATATTATTAGCTTTGTGATTCAAATAGTGATTAGAATGAAACTTTTACGAGTAAAGATTGCAACATTGTTTTAAATTTGCATAAAAAGTGTGGTAACTCGGCGATAAACACAAAGAACCTCACACATTACTGCGCACCAACGTGACGCCTGCTACACATTACTGCGTACCAACGTGACGCCTGCTACACATTACTGCGCACCAACGTGACGCCTGCTACACATTACTGCGAACACATTACTGCGCACCAACGTGACGCCAGCTACACATTACTGCGCACCAACGTGACGCCTGCTACACATTACTGCGCACCAACGTGACGCCAGCAGGCAATGTGCTGCTGCCATGCTTATTGGCGGCAGCGATAACGTCGGCAGCTGCTGCATGTTGTGACAGGATTGCAGCGCCCAGAGGAGCTGCAGCAGCAGCGTTACTGTTATGCATGTTCGCCATGAGAGTGGGTAGGGTGCCTGGGGGTGACGAAGAAGGGCCTCCGTGGGGATTGAAGAACAGCGACCGAGGCAATGATGTGTTCGAACTGATGCGACTGCTGCTACAGCCAGGCCACACAATGCTGCTGTTGCTGCTGCAGACGCCTGCAATAGTGGCATATATAATTAGCATTGAAATCTACCTTATCCGGTTCTACTTCCAGAACCTTTGTAGATAAAACCCTAACATTTAGTGCGGCTTTTCAAGTCAGTAAAGGCTGCTCATTTGTCTAAGAAAGAAGATATAAACTGGGTACGAAAAGCTCAAGAAAGTAAAGCTCTTCATCCAGGCAATGAACGTTAATCACTTCGTAAATTCAACACGTTAATCAATTCGTAAATTCAACGCGGCAGGAACCATATTCATTTGCATAGACAGATTATATATTTCAGTAATGACAGGTCTCTGGTGAAGCTACAATGAAGAGCTACCACCAAAGATACAGAGAAAGCAGAGCTGTGTTGTGACCTGTGCTGGCGGCGGAGACGCGGTTAGCGCGGTATGAGTGTGTCGTGTGGTGCAGTGGTGCGCTGTGGTGCAGTGGTACGCTGTTGCTGGAGTACAGTGCCCCCACTTCACTGCTTTTTTCGCGCACCTGTTGCTGCGCCACCACGATAGACAAGCACCGCACCCACTCCTCAGCGTTGCTCGAGTCCTGCGTTAACATTCGCTATTAATGTTGATGATAGTGAGCAGCAACAGCCACCACACCTACCCAGTGGTGTGGCTTAAAAATGATAGAAGTTAGGCCAATGAAAGTGCAATACAAATGCTACTAGAATGAAGAAAGCAGAGGGTTTTTAAAGGTATAATAAATTCGGGTCGTTGAAAAATCAGGGCAGACCTTAGCATTGGCCAACCACCCAGCTATTTTAAAATATTTTTGAAAATACCCAGAAAAGACTGATACATATACATTGAATTAAAAACGACAATTTTCTGTGACACAATAATCCTAATGAAATCAGATGAGACTAAAATACATTCAAATTAATAGAATAAATATATCCTAAAATATAAGTTACAGTAAATATATATACCTATATTTATTACGGTTAGAGTTCATTCATGTAATTGTTTTATATGCACGTCCCTCCTCAAGATTCAATTGTTCACACTCTCTTCCTCTCACTCAGCCACACATTACTCTCCAAATATCTCTTCGCTTTCTCGAACACCGCGATTAAAATAAATAACATGAAAAAAAGCATCTGCAGCGTTACTTTGTCAAGTTCTGTAGCGAGGTTGTGAATACTGAATGCCTTGGCAAGTAAATCAAGAAATTTACAACTGTATTTTATTTTTATTGTTGAATTGAATAATCATGGAAACTCACCACTTACATCCGAAAGTAGCATGGGAGAAAAGCCATTAGTAATTAGAGGGAAAAGTTTTAACCTAGTACAAGGTTAGCATAATAATAACTGGAATTAGAATCTAGAGGAAACAGCCAAGAAAGACGTCACAAACTAAATCGCTGATGAAACATGAAACATAAAAAATAGAAAGCAGCGATTATATATCAGTTTTAGTTATAGTTGACAATTCTGTAGGAATACACATGTAAATATTTGTGATTATGAGAAAATTGCTTTTCTAAACACGATATTAGCACAGGAATTTTCTCAACTGAAAATGTGCACATTACATTGTTTGAAAGTTCTTATCTAACAGGAATTAATTCCGTAGGCGAGTATAAGACGTTCCTCTGAACTAGTGCAAAATCTCACCTTAGCTTTGAGTACAAACGATTTGTTGTCAGTAAAGATTTCGAACGCTTTCGGAATGTGTCGCCCTGATTTGCCAACTTTAACGCTTCGTATTCGCTGCACGTCGATGTCGCCCTTCTCTTCAAGTCGGTCGCCATGCTGTGCGAAAAAACTGTTCATTATAGAAAATATTTAACACATTTATTGATACCTCACTACTGTTACAATTGCCACATAGACTTGAAAACTTTAATACATGTTGAAAAAACGAACAAATTATCTTTGTTCACCAATCAATTTTCGTCCGAGTAGCTAAAAATACATACTATAAATGTAACAAATAATCAGACCTCTCCTCTGTACGACAGATGAGCTCCCGAAAGCGTAAAATAGCGCGTGCGCCATTTTCTGAAAAGCTTCCATTTACTCTTCTTTTCTTTGAGTTGCCCCTCGATGACAGGAGTGTTGTCCTGCACGAAGCCTTGCGCCTTGTCGGGGTGGTTGCACAGGAAGCAACCCCACTGCTGCTCGATGCCGTTGTATTCAAACACGTCAAAGAACCTGGGCACGCAAACAGGCGTCAAACATACGTTCTGAATATGGTAATAATAAGATTTTAAAATTATCACTGAGTCTTTCACTCAAACACGTCAAAGAACCTGGGCACGTGAACAGACTGAATAGAGCATAGGTAATTCTGACTTTATTTTATAATATAATATTGAACATAGCTTGTGTGCAGATGTTGAGAAGAATATAAATGTGTGCTAAAGCGATATAGTGTGTATGACACGGTTGTTCCGTGGCCGTGGAACCGGGTGTTGTTTATATTGCGCGTTGGCGAGCCTATCGCGATGGAAATTCCATCAGTTGAGGAATTCGGAGTCACTTCGATGGGTGGGCTTAATGTGCGCGACGTCTGCCAATGAAAGTATCCTAAAATTCGCGCCAGATAGTTGTGCTAATGTGGTGACCGTCACGCCAGTACGGCTGCAGTCATCTCGGCAGACGTAGGTGACGAACGGCCTCGGCCGTCGGCCGGTGGGGTCAAAAATAACGGCCGCGCGAAACTTCGAGACATTCATACCACTCCGTTATAAGAACGTCAGAAATCTACGAGCAACGGCAGTAACTTCGCTCATTTGTACGGACAACTTTCATTACTACGGTTGTGACTTAGTCGTGAGACAGCACGAAGACAAGATCTCTACGTTCGCCGGACAATTCCGTAATGCGACGGCCAATCTCTGATATTAAAGGACCAGTCGTTTCACCATATGTGCCCGTCGTCAGCACATTCAAGAGCGAGCACAGAGCAACAATTGTCATCGGTACGGTCATCAACACGATACGTCACAGTCTTCGTCAGTCACAATCACCAACAGCAGAAATACGTCAATGAGCTTGGAGTAACATCATCAAAGATGAAGACTACGCCACTATTTGGAAGTACGGTTGTTATAAATTCTACGGTCAGACCGGCCGTGATACATAAATCTAAGCACTGAGATTATGACTATGCAGAAAGAGTGAGTGTGAAAAACGACCGAGGTGACGCGCGGCTACGGCTGTGGTACGGCCGCAAACGTACGAGTGTAGTACGGTCGTTTACGGCAGTCGTACTACTCAACGGAACTGCAACGGAGCAATGTTTCTGGTGAAAGTAGGAGATTTTAGCGATGTGAACTAATAGATTTTCGGATCACCCTTTCTCTGTACTAAAGATTTTTTTAACATAGGTTGTGAACTTGAATTTCCCAATTTAATATTAATTGTACCAGTGAAATTTAATATTAAATGTACCTATTTCATACCCCGAGTAAAGACTAAGACGCAACCCGACTATATTAAAGCAATTGACGATCAATAATAAAATTTAAATTATGAAACCAATCTTCAAATCATCTATACATTTTCCATTATCTAATCAAGGCATCAACATACGCAGTAAACAAGTTAATCATTTGAAATAATATTAATATTGAGTCTGTTAATATGCAGTAAGAAAAGAGAAAATTGTTAGCTCAATTTCTTTTCAAGCTTAGATAGAAGTGAATTTGAATAATAAAATTATCAACGATGCAAAAACACGAGAACATCATAACTAGTTGAATGAAATTGAGTCGTTGCAGTTTAAAATGAAAATTACTAAGATAGAAGAATTAATTTGTTGCCATTTCTTACAGTTACTGGGAGTATAGCACAAGCACAGTAGTGCTACCATTTTTCTTTACAAATTCTAGCGATGAAGGCGACAAGCGATTTATATAGGACTGTTTTACAGCCTTAAACATCAAATTAAGGAGCATGAGGCCCACGAATCTTGGTCCCCATTAGTTATTTACTAATTGAAATGTACGGTCTTGGATTCATTCACCTGTTGGACCGCAACTCCTGCAAGAGGGAGTCCATATGTCACCTGTTGGACCGCAACTCCTGCATGAGGGAGTCCATATGTCACCTGTTGGACCGCAACTCCTGCATGAGGGAGTCCATATCCTTGGCGGATGGGAATGCCGCGGTGACAAGTGTCAGGAAAGACACGTTCACGTCGGAGTTGATGGAATCCCAGCAGTGACGTAAACTGCTAACCTGAACGCAAATACAATGCGTAATGAAGAACGCAAACTTACGTAGAAGTCTAGTAGTTGCATTTATCAGACATGCTTATTCATTGGAAAGTTTTGAAGTTTGAAAGGCCTAAAAATGCAAACAGAAATCGTGAAAAAAATCACAAACGCGTTTTTTTTTAATTATTGATAAACTCAAAGCATGGTTTTATTGTAAAGTATCACCAAATTTTGGACCAACTTTACGAGAGAAATGTTCTAACTGGAAGCGAAAAAAAATCGAGATTCAGTTCTGAAATTTCTGTAGTCACCTTACTGAGGGGACCTTACTGAATAAGCTCGAGATTACCATAAGTACTTAGAAATACTACACACAAAGTTAACTAGAAACAAAATTCTGCGTACATCAAAAAATTTGATTTACACAGAAAGTCAGTAATATTATAAATAATGGCTTCCTTCAACACTGGAATTCTTTGCTAAGGCTCAACCTTTTTCCAGACAATTGAAGAAATCAATCGTCATCAAGGACCGTACTGTCAAAACTCGCTAAACACACGCAGAGACTGGTTTCTCGTCCGTGATTGCTGAAGTCAGCTTGAGAAGCCGTCAATATTCGGTTAAGCGAGTTAAGAACTCGTAAATATTTTTGATAGCACAGCCCTTGAAGATATGAAGACTAATGCTGACCTGCGTCTCTCTGGAACTGAGAGCAGAAGGAGAGCGCGCCTGCAGAGCGAGGAACATCAAGTGGATCCACACTCTTGGGTGACGAACTTTGATGCAGAAAAGCTGGTTGTTGTACAAACAATGTTCGCCTTTCCCTTGACAGCTGAAGAAAAGCTTCGCGTACTTGCGACGTTTCCGTTCTGCCATGACAAGCAATTCAAAATGAATTCATTTACTGCTACCAGAAATACAAAATTATAGTTTAAATGAATGATTTGTACATTCAACAAACTACGCTGCCTACAACAGTCATTTTAACAGATTTTGCAAACATTAGTAACATGAACTATTATGACTTATGAGTTAGTGAATTTCATCCTCGTGTATATTTCGGTTATCCACAAAAACTGACCTTCAATCAAGCACTTGACAGGCAGCGGCAACTTGACGAACACTTTCTGCATGTAAGCCTTGATTTTCTCGCGGTGTTTCTCACAGAAATGCTGCACTGTATCCTTCATGGCAAACGGTTCAAACACACTAGCGCGCTGAGGCTCGCATGTGCTCAGGGGAGTGGACCGCATCACCGCTTTAATTCCTATGTCGCCACCCAAACTGTTGTCACTTTTAGCTGCATCCTGTTGCTGTTTCTGCTGCTGTTTATCTATTGGATATATTGATGAATTTTTATCTGTAGCGTTGTTGGTAGTAACGCCATTGCTAGCGATGGGTGGTGAAATGCTGCCAGCGCTGTCGCATATGCTGCCACCACTTGAAGCGCTTGTCACTCCACCTAACAAATAAGAAGAATCATGTAAAATGAAGCACTTAGACGAGGTTCAATATGAGCGTGAATGTAACGTGAGTAGAGGGTAGACTCAATAATAATTATTATGATTTCTCTGTTTACATGCGTAGATAATTTTCACAATTACCCTCGAAAGTTTGTGTTTTAGTTGTGTTTTTCAATTGGTTGAACAAAAATTGATTACTTAAGAACAAAATGATTCATAACGAAATCAGGGAGGCAGACAACAATAAAATTTTGCGTGAATATTTACAACAATTGTTACCTGAAGAGCAGGTGGTGAGAGGGGCGGGAGCAGCTGGTGTAGTGGTGGTGCGAGTGGTGGTGCAGGACGGAGTGTTCAGTTCTGGAACAGATGGTTACATGTGAATAATACAAATTGAATATAATTCCGCTCCTATAAACAATTCGATTGGACAAATAGCATAACTTCGCCTAGGCTTGAATTTGACCTATGACATTGAATATTGATTCGTTTATAGTTACTTTTTTTCTTTTTGCACAAAAAATACAGCTAAAAGTGTAATAAAAGAATAAGAATATGACAAATACGTATTCTGCGCCTGACAAAACCACAAAAAATTACTAATACTCAGCAAACCAACATAAAATCACCACCGAAATGTTCAAGATATTTTCAGTGATACATAGTATTATTGAGCTGAAGCCAACTGCAATCAATATCATCAATTATTGCAATAAATGTTCACAATCTGAAGTTCAATGCCGATAAACACAGAATAGGAATAGCGATTTATTCTGAAAGCAATTCACCCAGAGGAGCAGTACAGTGTACAGACCGTTCGCGATCGAGTCCGCAGCTGTAACGCAGTAATCCCGCAGCGTACCAACCGACGAGCTCCGACTCTTGTATGAACCCAGACTCGCTGTATGTGAACCAAACAAGTTCTTTGTAAATCAGTAGATTCATTAGCGACACAAAAATATCAGTTATTGCGAACAATTTCTCGGATACATAAAATAGCCGGGTTCAACAAGTAATTCTTGTTAAACCCGACGAAATGTTGGAATTACGGGGCGTGGTAATTGAAAAGAAATGTGGGAATTACGGTTATTTTCACCTCTTTTTCACTAGAGTCTCACCCGGCACAGAGACATGATCTGTATTGGCGAGAGGCGCGACCTCCGTGTGGCTGTTGCTGGTTGCAGCGTATGACGCTCCAATTTGGGGCCTGCTCGATGCCGCGGCCATATTTGCGGGGTAATGTCCAGTCTGGGTAGTGGAGGTGTAAAGACCAGACGGTGCAATGGAGGTGTAAAGACCACTCATGGTAGTGGAGGTGTAGAGCCCACTCAGGGCAGTGGAGGTGTAAAGACCAGACGAAGCAGTGGAGGTGAGAAGAGCCAGCTGGTTGCCGCTGGTAGCATACGATATCACAGGAGGCACTCGCTGCTGCGCCGAAGACGTGTGGCCGTTGACGGAAAAACTCAGGGGTAGTTGAGCCGAGTATCGTTTGTGTGCTGATGACACGGACTGTAACGGCACATGAGCTCCAGGAACAGGAGTAATGGGTAAGGGATTCACAGGAGGCATACCTAGAGGGGGGAGTGGGATACCCAAAGAAGGTATGGCCGATGGGAAGTGAGTAACTGGCTGGGAAGCGTAAGGACTCATGGCATCAATAGTGGCACAGAAACCGTTGTATACCGGGGGTGGAGTGGTGGGAGACGCACTGATGGTGTAGGGTGTGGACAGAGGACGAGTGGTTTGAGGGATAGTGGTGAGAGCTGTGGTTGAGCGGGTGATGGTGGTGGTGGTGAGTGCGTGATGAGAACTGTTCAGACGCGTCAGCGACTTGTTTAACAAGATGGATGACGAACCTAATCGACTGCTGCTGCCACTGCTTGTGCCTGAAGATTAAAAATATCGAAGTCAAAATGCATATAATAGGTAATCATTAGGCTACTAATAATTTTTAACATCAACACTAGTAACACTACGCCTACTATTATTTATAAGCATTTTTTATTCATTACTTTTCAACTAAATTTAAAAGTGAATTAAAAAATCGCGACTAAAAACTGTGCGAAAAAAAATTCAGTGCTAAATAAATAACAATATTAATTGTAACATAAAAACGGTGAAAAATAACTCATGGAAATTTACCTGTAGATTAAAGAAAGACTTTTTTGTCGTTTTTGTTTTGTGTACCGTTTTGCTTTGCATGCTAACATTCTAAAAGATGCGCCTAGCTACAGAAAAAAATCAGTCCTAAACAGCACAGTGGCAAAGAAGAGATTCTTTCAAAACTAGTTTATTCTACATTCCTTCATACAGTTCAAATTTTATTCAAAATCGATGTGTAATATTGATGGGACTAACCTATACCCAAACGCGGCATGGATCGATTGCTAGCAGTGACCAATTTGTTGCTGCTCTTCCATGCTTCTCCAGCTGATATTGCAGACGAGTTTGCTCCACCATGCTTCTGATATTTGTGTTGTCGAGCACCGCTGCCAGCCGAGGGGTTTTGGACATAGAGAGCATCACCCACAGGTCTGCCATCCTTGCCCAGAAGCATGTCTCGGCTGTGATAACCACTGCCGTTGGTCAGCTCCCGGCTTGTAGATCGCACGAGGTCTCTAAACCGCGAGTACGAGATTTGGTCACGGCTGCCAGTCATTAAAGTTATATTCGAAACTTCTCGCCCGCCATCAACAAGATCTTGGGAGTCCAGTTTACCATTGCTGAGGCGCTCTAGTGCGTTGTTGCTGGTGTTGGTGTAGCACAAGTTGCTGTTATTGCTTGTGTTGGCATGAGAGCTCATCTCGCTGCTGTTGACAGTGACGATTGTGATACCGCCACTGTTGCTGTGCTTTATTCTTGCAATCTCGTCGTCACTAATAAGAAAAAATGACCAATTAATTCACACATGAAAAAAAAACATCCAAAAGTCTATGAAAATTCATATGTCATGATAGTCTTTAAGAATAATCAGGCAAGTTGTGGAACTTGATCTTTTTCTAGAGACTCTCATAAAAAATTTTTATGAGAGTCTCTCATAATTTTTTTTCTCATTTTTCTAGGGACTCTCATCGAACTTGATCGACTCTCATAAAAATTTTTAAACTCTCAATAAACTAATATGAGGATTTTCAACTTGAGTCGAACCAGTATTTTGGATGTGGGCCTGTGAAAGCGAAACTCTTTGGAATAGATAAGTTAGCATCCAAATCCTTTAACAGCAATCAAGAAAAAAACTTTACCTTAATTTTTTTTATAGCAGATGAAATAATTCACGTACAAACTATGATTCATGCAAAGTAAATTACAAGCAAGCTAATCTTATCAATTAACTGTCAGGACCTATAGCTAATGCACGGGACCCTTACTCCTGGTGCTGCAGTGAAGCGTGGGAGCCTGCGATGCTGCCGTGCGTCGTCGCAGACTCACACTGTCGCACAGCGCCCAGCAACGCGTCGCTCACCGCGTCAGGATAAAGTGACACCACACCGCCCACCTCGCGCAGCACTGACGCATAATTAATGTTAGGAGCGTGAGAGAATAGTCGCAGTCTCACACTGTCGCACAGCGCACAGCAACGCGTCGCTCACCGCGTCAGGATAAAGTGACACCACACCGCCCACCTCGCGCAGCACTGACGAATAATTAAAGTTAGGAGCGTAAGAGAATCTGCATTCTTCTGTTTGAGAAATACTACTGACGCATAATTACCGTTAGGAGCCTGAGAGAATCTGCATTCTTCTGTATGAGAAATACTAGTGACGCATAATTAACGTTAGGAGCCTGGGAGAATCTGCATTCTTCTGTATGAGAAATACTACTGAAGCGTAATTAATGTTACAAATTTGAGAAAATTTGCATTTGTAAGTAAAACCGTACCGTAAAATGGGGCAACTTAGACCACTTTTAGTTTTTTTAACAAAAACCCCCAAAACTCAAAAACTATTTGACATAGAAAAATTTTGTTGATGGGCATTATAGGCCTAATACTGAGGCTACGTAACACAATAGATAGATAAAAAAATTATGCATATCTAATAGGTTAAAAAATTAAAAATGTGACCCACGAAAAAGAGCTATTAGGTATTTAAAGCCTGTCATATAACCCCCTCCAATTTTTCTATTATTTGGTAAAATAACTCCAGGTTTTGGTGCATTGTAGTAGAACTCTTATAGTTACATATGCAAATGACAAATTTGAGGAAAGTGTCATAGTTTGCAAATGGGGGGCGCCACCCCCCAATGGGGGAACTTAGACCACCTAATGCCAGCCCTGACGGGGTAACATAGACCGGCTTGGAAATTAATTTAAAATTACCATATATAACATATTACATGTTTGATACACCTATTAATGATTTTTCTTTATGTTTTATTACCCCTTTATGTAATATTACCCCTTCACGGCTGACATTAGGCGGTCTAAGTTCCCGCATTCGGGGGCGGTGCCCCCCATTTGCAAACTATGACACTTTCCTCAAATTTGTCATTTGCATATGTAAACAGAAGAGTTCTACTACAATGCACCAAAACCTGGAGTTATTTTACCAAAAAAATATAATTGATTTTACTACCCAGTCTAAGATACCCCAAGAGCTGGGGTAACAAAGACCATCACTTTTTTTGAAATTACATAAAGACTATGAGAGGCAGGAGCCAGCAATTTATGGTGAGTGAACCTAAGGTATAGACCGGTATTTTGCATCTTTCAATTTAAGTTTAATTTAGCTAGTAGAAAAATGGCATGATTTAAAAAAAATAGAAGTCTAAGTTTCCCCATTTTACGGTACTCAAGCCAATCTAACATTGGACCGTTTTTGCGAATCTTGTCATCTCAAGAACATAATGTTTTCTCTCGTTGTAACGCTAATAAATTTATTTGAAGCCCAAGTGGGAATTCATGGCTAAGTTCCATGATAAAATTTGTTGTGACTATAGTTTTTCACTAACCACAATGATGTAGTTTTCAAATTTTATATCTAACTTAATCTAAGTGTCCAGAGCCTCAGAAGCAAATTATTGAGACAAGACCTTCAGCAAGACCGCTCTTCTCAACGCTGGGTAAATGAGTGGCCGTGTAGTCTAGAGCTGTGCGAGCAACTTCCGGTGAGACTCGTCCCAGCACGCAAATAACCTGCAACAATAATAGTCAGCAAAAAACTGAACTGACCTAATTATAAAAAAACAAGTCTGTGGCGGTCCAACAATTGTTGTTTAAAATTTAGTATTTTAATTGTGATAGTCTGAATAATTTAAATAGATTGATAATTGAGTCTACCATGTATCTAACTATACAAGTTAGCACATTTTATTTTAGTAGGCATGGGTGGAAATTGGCAAACAAACAAAAATACATCGTTAATCAACAAATAGTAACATTACCAACAATAGCCTAAAAACTGTCAGTTATGCAAAATCTTTATATATTTAGATAATTATAAAATTGCCCACCATTTCAAACCAAATATATAATTCTAAATTGTTCAACACTACTTCATTTCCAATTTTTAAGTATTTCTCCGCTCAATCATTAAATAATTTCTTGGCTTAATAATCAAGTATTATATGATATATTCAGCACATAATCATCAACTCTAAACGGACCTGCAGTCCAATAGTAAGAGTTTCAGGTTGTGCATCAACAGCATCCATGATCCTATGCATGTATGGCGTGAGTATTGTAGGCCGCCATTTGGTGAGGATGAGAACAACCTGTAGCGTGGGTAAGGCAGTTGAGGGAGATGATAAACATTCAAGAAGTTGAGGCAAGGAGTTCTCCAGCAGCGCAGGTTTATGCCCCGCCACCAGAGCAAAGAGCTGAAGCAGAGGCTGAATGTCTGTAGGGTTGTGGCATCGCGGTAGCAGTGATACCAGAGTCATAATGTGCCGCTGCAAAGGCTCCTGAGCTTCGCTGTATAGACCAGGTAAAATGCGAGCTAGTGAGTAGTTACCTGTAGAGGAGGAACTATCATTACTTACAATGAAGTATTTAAAAAAACATATATATAGGTATACATGCAAAAGTGGATTTTACTTATTGGCCTTTACATATATGCATTTTTGAAATTCAGTTGAAATAGTTGGAAGTAGAAAATTTCTTTCTGAATAATTATATAAAAAAATATGCATAAACAATGTGTATTAAGATTATCTTACTACTTAATTATGTGAATCAAGCACTTTTGATTTGAATAAATCTGCTGGATATCTTGTAACTAATGCGATAATGTTAAGATTTCTAACCGGCAATGACACTGTCAACAATAGTATGAGTGTGCTGAGCTAGAAGCCCTGCTGAGTGTATGGCTGCAAGGCTGAGGTAGCTGCTGATGCTGCGGCTCAATTCTGCATTGCCTTTGTGTAAGAGCTTCACAGCAACAGGGAGTGCTAGTCTCATTACACTGCGCTGCTGGTAATGCTGTAACAAATAACGCATTATAAGTATTCCATTAATTGAAGCAGGTTTACAAAAAAGAGAAATTGGAAAAGTGGCATTTACTCTTGAACTTATAAGGCAAGGTAACAGGTGAAAAGAATTAAAGAGTTCTCGGATTTAAAGAAAGGAAAATTCCTAAAAACAATTTGGAGAGATTTAATGATCATTTATAAATTGTTTACAAGTATACACATTCTTTTGAAGAAGGTCAACTTGCCTAATGTTTGCCATTATAACTTGGCATCAATAACAAACAGTCTTGTTCTCATAAGAATGCAAAATTGATCAATGAAGTATGGTACATATACATTTGTATATACTGAGTGAGAAATCAATGATCAGTAGGTAGATAATTTGATCAAGGAATCATCAAATTACTGACCAAGAATATACAGGCAACAATATCTGCAGCAATTTTTGCATGAGGTGGAGCTGCATCTGGTGTGGTGGGTCGCAAGTTGTGGTTCAGACACGTCTGTAGCAATGAAACCAGAGCAAGGCCCTCCAGTTCTACACTGCCATTCTCTCTGCACAAAAATTATATTAATTAAAGAAATATTGTAATAAAAAATGGAGTTCTGCAGCCAAGACAAAAATTAGTAGATAAAATTTTTCTAATTTTAAATTGAAATGAGGTACAAATAATGCATTTAAATAAAATCTATGTCAGTCATATGATAAATAAATACACTCATAAAAATTATGATCACTTTAAAAATTTTACTAAACAGGCTCAAAGTTTTGCACATATTATGTAACCAAATTGAAGAGATAGAATATACTGTGCATGAACATAAAATAATAATTAATTTGTACATCATAACAGGAAATACCGGTACCATAATGATAAACAATGCACTTACGGTATAGGTCTTAAATATTGTATTAAGTAGGTATGTATTACATTTCAGTATTATTAACAATATAGTAATTATGTTCACCTTATAGCTGAAGTTATTCTTGTGATGCAAATTTCCACAACACTTTGATCATTGAGATTGTGAGAGTAGTCAGGCTGGCTGGTGATCTCAATAACTTTGTTGATTATGGCCGAGAGGTCATTCAAGATGATGCGATCAGGGACTTGAAACAAATCTCCAGCCTGTAGGAAGAAATTTAATTTGAAATGGACTAATTTTTAGGCTCAGTAATTCAATCATATCTAGTAATTCTAACTAATATATTATCAAAATATAATTATTAAAAGCTCATGTTCAGATTGTCTACAAACACAGGCAGTTTTGGCCAGTGCTAGATGTTAAATTTCATTAAATAACTTTGCATGGAAAGGACTGGTCTACCAATAGGACTCAAAATAGACGTCTAAAAATTCTGCTTTGCCACAGTGGGTTCATGTAAGTAAGGCAATAATCTTTAATAATCCTGTCAATATTTATGGTCTTAAAACATGATCCTGGCAAAGCAATTGCCAAAATCTGTATATCGAGTCTCATGCATAGTGCAAAATAAAAAAAATTTTAAAATAATTAATTTTTTATTTCCTTGACCCTGATCTAGGTTTAATTTTTATTTAATATCTATATGATAATGCTGGTATCCATGATCCATTGATACTTCATTGGTCTACTAATAAGACTCAAAAAGGTAGAGCCTAAAAATATTTACTTTTCCAAGTAGTAGTCTCAAGTCACTCAAGCGTGGAAAACATCTACATACCTTCAGGCCATGGTCAGGAAGATGTGCCAGGTGCGCGGGAATTTATTTTGTCATTTTAACGACCTGCGCGGTGCGCCGTACTATGCTGGTAAAAAAATGCGCCATGCGCCGTACTTTAGAAAGCTAAAATAGTTCTACTATTTTAGTCGACAATATACGCGAGTATATTGACTACGCGAGTCTAACTGACAATAATAAATGTAAGACATGTCCGGGTTACTTCTGACTCTTCTGCTTGTCCGCCTTGTCGGATACGGAACGTACGGTAATCGTAAACTGCGGCTATTATACATACGAAATGTAAACCGAGGTGTTCAGTGTTGCCATATGACTTTGGAGGAAATTTCTTCTAAAATAAAGTTCTAGATTTCTGAGTTCTCATCTACCAAATTTCTGTATCAAGAAAAATCATATATTATTGAAAGATAATTAAAGTGCATACTGTACTGAGTAATGTGAGTATTACGTCTCTTCCTCCACAAACTGCTTGTGCGCGGCAGCGCGACATAGAATTGATGGCCGGGATTGCGCGAACACGTGCGCGAAGAGATTGAATTTTCATTACATTGCGCCAACTGTGCACAGCAATAGCTTAAAAGAAGTGAAAATGTGCGGGAAAATTCACCAAAATTCCGAAAACATACATCATCCTGAGTGTGGCCTTCAGGGCAGCAACTAAAGCTTTCCTGCCATTTCCAGAACTGCAAGATTACCAACAGATGAATTACCTCCTATTTAAAAATTAATTGTTAACAAAAGTGCATGATCAGGCCACAAGATTCTAAATGTATTAAAAATTTGTTACATTTGAGCTGCGAGATTTCAGAAACAATTAGGAAAATTTCAATCTTAATTAGACACTCATACCTCATAAGTAAAGATTTTTCTGAAAATTTTAGATATAATAAATTATTTTCAAGAGTTGCTCACTAGTAGGTATTGATTTTTTTGGATAGTGAGAACTGTGTGCCAGTGTGAACTGTGAAGTATATATATTTCTACTTATTAAGCAGTGTAACTAGAGCTTTGTTGATATTTTTAAAGCTGCGCAATTCTCATCATTAATCAAGCTGAAATATTGGGCAGAATTATCCAAAAATTTCAAGCAATTGCAAATTGCAATAGTCTCACAGCCTCACAGGCAATTTTCAAAAATTTACCTTAAAATGCAATGTTTTTCTTGATTTACACAAATGAAATTATACAAGGAACATAGTCCATGAGAAAAGGTATAGAATAGCTACTAGGCAAAATTTTCAGAAAAACTTGGATAAAAATGATCATTTCATAGGTAATCATGGGTGAAATTAGTAATTTTTTCATTTCTTAATATTTTTCACCAAATAAATTGAGAAAGGCCATAGCCTGTGAGGCTGTGGCCCTGTGGCCTGTACTAGTATAGGAATAGGTAAAATTGGCCAGATGCACAGGCATTTTTGTCCAATTTACTTGTAGATTCTGATAAATTTCCCAGTTTGGATTGTCAACAGAAGTGCATAACTGCACATTTGAGCAGCAAGATTCTAGAAATATCATGAATATGCCATAATGCCAACAAAATTTTGTATCTATATTTACAGCATTACAGGGCCACAGGCAATATCTGGCACTTTGCCTACCTTACTTCTCTACTTTAGTTGGCAGGCAGTTTATTCTCTCCTTCTCAGAGTTAGACTTTCACTTCTACTACTCTTTGTGGCAGTTTACTTTATTCTCCCCTTCTCAGAGTTAGACTTTCACTTCTACAGAGTTCTACTAGGTAGGTACTCTTTGTTACCACCAAAAGTGTGTTGAATAGGCTAAAAATTATATTTAATGCAAAACTTGGATGCAAATGTAAAATTCTTCCATAAAACACACAAAAAATTGGGGAAGAGACAAATTGATACAAACTGCAAAGGATTTTTAGTAGAAGAAAAATCTTTAACTTAATGAATTCACTTTCTACAGTTATTCTACAGTAACACTAACAGTAACAGTGTTACTGAGTTCGGATTAATTAGGCCCTACCTAATCAAATGCAGCTGCTAAAGATGCATCTCATCCTAATTGTGAACAAAATCTTATAGAATTTAGACATAAATACTCACTTTAGACAAGTCTTTTTTGTTCAGCACATACTGGAACATTTCATGCATGATTAATATCGCGGTTGAACAAAATAAAAAAATATATGCGAAATACAGAATGCCAACAACTTTTGACACTTCCAAACAACTCTCCTAAGAGTCGGATTACGGACAGAATGACAGAATTGAATGTTTCTGAGAAGAAATGAATATCACCGTTTCATCAAACAAACTTTGTGAATTATTACCCTTCTCTGAAAGGGCAATAAAAAATGAGTGTTCATGGAAATGACAATTATTTAAAGTAAAACCATTCGGACAAAATTGAGACAGGTGATTCTCAGTAGGAAAGGCACTCTGTTATAGAAAGACTTGAACGAGATCGCGGACTCATCACCAGCAAGCTGATCATAGATGAACCAGTGAAACGGTTCACCGGTGTGGTTGTTGATGATGATAGAGTCCTGTCATGCCAGGAAGCAGCCATGTGCAGCGTAAGCAAGGCCAGCATGGATAACAAACGCAAGGGGATGGCAGAGGTCTTGCCGTTGCCTCAGCTTTTGCTGACGAGAGTCTCCAATTTGTCTTTGAACCTATCGCTCGTACATGCAGCCCAGGTTTATGTTAATATCTTTCTTTCTCTTGAACTATTAATAAGATGCATGTATTTGTTCAGCCACGTGAGAGACGATAAATGCCCCATGTCTGATGGGAGTACGCTGGATACTCCGTAGTATACCTTACGGCGGAATGTGAGGCGTATGAGGTTGTGAGGAATGTGTGGTTGTAATGTAGGTGATTATCTATGAGGAAGGAGAGAGTGACAGCACGAGGGTATAGAATAGAATAGAACAGAATAGAATAGAAGTGTCGGTATTGAAAAAATAGGCCCGTGGCCTATTGCCGATTCTTGAACTTTTCGTGACTTGATTCGCATGGGATCCAGCCTTTGGAACCCGATCTTTCCATAACTGACGATTGATTGAGATAGCTGCTGGACATATTGCCTGGTCCGTAATTTGATAGGCATTTTAAGACTGAACATACGCTCCTGCTTAGCTTCATCTAGTCTGTTTTTGAAGGTGTTCATACTCGGAGCGTCAATGATGCTATCAGGGAGGCTGTTCTACATGTCGGTGTCTCGAAGCGAGAAGAAATGTTGCCGCATGGATATGTTCCAACGCAGTTTTTAGCGCATTTTCTCATTTATGGAAAAAATGCACTATTGTGCACGCCATGTCCGTCTGTCCATCCGTCCGTCTTTCCGTCCGTCTGTCTGCCCGTCCATGATTTCACGTTTTCGTCGACGAGAAAATGCGCTCTATGTCACTCACTGCAGTGAGTACTGAG